TCTTTCACTGAAAGAGTAAGGTCTTGGATCTGTTGTCCTTGCTGTGCCCTCAGGGTAGTAGCTGTCAAAGAACATTTCCTCCATTGGATACAGTTCTGTGAGACTAGAGAGTGTAAGCCCTGCTAGCTACTAAAGCCAGGTAATGTAGAGGTGTCCTCTGGCAGCAGCCACAAAATTCCTGGCACCAGAAAAGGTATAAACTCCTTTATGTAAGATACCAATGATCTGGAGCAAGGCAGGGGAGTACAAAGATCAAATCCAAAGAGTCCTCTTTCTCAGAAAGACTAAGCGTGTATTTCAACCTGACAACCTGTACAGTACCCTGGTAGTGGTAGTGTACCTCAAACTGCCTCTCCGATTGTTACAGTCCCATGGGACTTAAAATTGCAAGCCCCATGGGTCTCCAGAGTCAGGTGATCAAGAGACATCCCTTAGGCAACAGCCACAAAAGTCAGCTCACCAAATGTAAAAACTTGGGCACAAGATATGTGTGGAAGTTTTCTTCCAGAAGATATTAGTGCTCTGGAGTGTGACAGAGGGAGAATGAAAAAGTTGTTTCCACTGGCTGCAGTGAGGTAAAGGAATACAAAGGTAGAAACTTCTGTGAAAAGGGGGAAAAAAGGAAAAAGGGAAACACAAAAATAAAAAAGAAAGGAAAATAAGGAAAGTAAGAATAAAAAAAAAAAAGATGGTGCCTGCTAACTGTAGCAGTGAGGAAGAGCAGGAAGATGTTGTCTGCTTGCCTCTGTCCCTAAAGAGTATTAAGAGTATTTCAACAGACACCTGACCCTCACACCAATGTTCTAAAATTTACAAAGCAATCTCTTCCACATAAAGTCTAGGCACTTTTCAAGGAGCTGCTTTGGACTGAGCCCTAAAATGGGTGACTGCAAAGGAGGCCTTTAAGAGCTGTTTCTCAGTTTGCCACAGCCCCATAGGTTTCATGGTGTTGAGGCTTGCTGGTCTTCAAAGCCAGATGTTTTTGAGGTTTGTCTCTCACATATCAGTCTTAAAAACTGGGCTGCCCAATATGAGGTATAAACACTTTGCTCCTCAAGTTGAAGTTCCAGATTTTGAATCTCTCTCCACCCCCAACCCACCAATTGTGGATCACTGAATCAGGGCAAGAGTTTACGGTGAGATTGCATCTCAGCTTTCCTTACCCACTTTCATGTGGTTTCCCTTTCATTTTCAAATGTAAAGGGGTCACTCTGCTAGTGTTTAGTTTTTAATTTTTGTCTTTGTTTTCCCCATAGAAAAGTATTCTATATATAGCTCTAGATTTGATATGTCCTTGATCAGGAAACCTGCTAGTCTATAATAATAGCTACTGGAATTTTGCTATTACCTTTCCCCATAATAGCCAATTTGAAGTTGAGTTTCTGTAAACCAGTTGTTCTCTTTCCATTTTATCAATTTCATACATTGAAAATTCTCAAAATATCTTATATATTCATGTGTGGTAAATTTTGAACCCTGGGAGATCAATTAACTCTTTCAGAGCCTTAGAGGATAATAGCATACTTTTACTTGTAATTACATATTGAATTTGTAATGCAACTAAAGCCCTAGTATTTGGTCTAAAGAGTTACTATAAGTACTTACTACTTAAAAGCAGAATGTAGTTTTAATTTTGTATTATAAGCACTAGCTTTACTTTTATGGTGGGTTATAGTCCTGTAAAATGTGCAAAATAATGTAAGGAAAAGCAGATTTACTTACAGTAGCAATTTTATAGTAGGGAAGTTAAATTTTCAAATAAGAGTATTATGCTTTAAACATATGGCCACGGTTGCCAAACTGTGGAAAGAACCAAGATGCCCTTCAACGGATGAATGGATAAGGAAGATGTGGTCCATATACTCTATGGAGTATTATGCCTCCATCAGAAAGGATGAATACCCAACTTTTGTAGCAACATGGACAGGACTGGAAGAGATTATGCTGAGTGAAATAAGTCAAGCAGAGAGAGTCAATTATCATATGGTTTCACTTATTTGTGGAACATAACAAATAGCATGGAGGACATGGGGAGTTAGGAGAAGGGAGTTGGAGGAAATTGGAAGGGGAGGTGAACAATGAGAGACAATGGACTCTGAAAAACAATCTGAAGGGTTTGAAGAGGCGGGGGGGGGGGGGGGGTTGGGGGAACCAGGTGGTGGGTATTAGAGAGGGCACAGATTGCATGTAGCACTGGGTGTGGTACAAAAACAATGAATACTGTTATGTTGAAAATAAATTTTAAAAAATGATTAAAAAAATAATAAAAACTATAAATCCAAAAAAAGAATATTATGCTTAACATTTTTATAGAAATGACCACATGCTACATAAGAATAATTCATATAATATGATAAGTGTTATATCTGTACTCTACACTAGTATATAAAGCCTTGTAAAAGTGAACAGTATAACCAAACATGCATAAACTGCACTTAAGATCATATAGATTGTTGTACAAAGTTATTTTATCTCTCAAAACTTCTTCCTTCTTTTTATTAAAGCTATCAGGTTAAGGAGTCTTTTATCAGTATTATAAAATTCTGAATGATATAAGGGTATCTAAGTGGATTTTGACAAGGATCTTGCAAAGATATGGAGGTAAATATATAAGAAAATTTTTGGTGACTTTTTGAAAAGCTGATTCAAGGAGATACATTTTCCTGTCTTATTTGTCTTGCATCATGTCTCTGTAGGAAACATACAGATAAGTGTTAAAATTGCTGTCCATTTTAATAACTTAAAGCAATCTCACCAATTTACAAAGGTGTTATCTCATAAGATCAAATATTGTCATCTTTCTGCCAGCATTGTGTAAGACATCCCAGCCTTTAATACAATTCAAGAACCAACCGTTACTTGCTTCAATGTTATATTTTTTCTCTCATTACAATAGGAATTCATATGTCAAAAAACCCAAAGATTCCACTTTAATCATGACCAGATGGAAGGTACATATATTAATTGGCCCACTAATATACAAATCCTGTGTTCAAACCACTATCTCTAGGCAGCAATTTCAAAGTAGGCATGAGTATTTAGAACTGAAATACCTTTTCTCTGCAAACAGCAGAATGTGTAATTCTAAATAGTTTTCTTTCAAAATTAAATTCTTTGAGTGAGGCATCTAGACAGTCATCCTCATAATGCTTCCATTAACTCCAAACATATCTGGAAAACTTCTTTAAGCAGTGCTTTCAGATGCAGGTTAATAAAGCACAAGAAAACCAGTTTCATTAATTAATAATTACAGAATTCTTTTCCTCCCTAGAAGCCTTGTTCTTCTTTCTTTTAATTTCTCTGTTTTAGTTTTCCCTCCTTCCTTCTCCTTAGCCAGACTGTTCAAATGGATATTCTGAAGAAAACCACTTCCCTTCTCCTTCCTGCATGCAAAGTATCTACGCTATTTACATTTCAAGCGTAAGTGTTGAAAGTGGTGAATTGAGTTTCATAAATACCAAACTGAAAAGCTGAGGATTGCCTATACTCAAATCCTCTACAATGGCTCTGAAATAATAGATATAACCCCTAGAAAAATGAAGATAGATTGCCAGAAAGACACACGTTTTTCTCCCATTCATTTATGATGTGATAATGTTTTCTGTTTCTAATGAAATTCTGTGAGCTCTATGGACAGAACTTTCTTAATAAACACAAATTTGTCAATGTTCAAAAAGAAAGAATTTGGGCAAGCTCCAAAAAAATCTAAATTTCTCAGAATGTTCATTTCTCCAATTTTTTTTGCGGCCCTCTCCATAGCAACATTAGATATGTCAACTAAGTCAAGAGAAACAACAACAACAACAACAACAAAAATAAACTCTTTGGACTACATAAGAATAAAAGATTTTGCACAGTGAAGGAGACAAACAATAAAACAAAAAAAAACAGCCTACTGAGTGGGAAAAATATTTGCAATGATATATCCAATAAAGGGTTTATATCCAAAATATATAAGGAACTTCTACATCTGTCAGCTCTATAGCCTTCTTCCTTTCATCTATTTATGGGTTCTGTATGACCTACATTAAGCCCTAAAATATATTTGGTAAGACATCATGAACAATGTGGGTCTCCTATACCCCTAATCATTAAACTGTAGATTGGGACAATATTACAACAAAACAAAACAAAACAAAACAAACTATCTATTTATCATTTGATACTTTGTAACCAGAAGTTTGATCTGCCATTCCCATAACCCAGACTTTTCACATAATCTCCAGCAAATTGTGTAGAAATGGCCTAATCTGATGCAGCTTAGCTTTGGTCTGTGTCTTCACCATTTAACTCAAGTTTAACATTGACTTAGTAAAAGTAACAACACAAATAGAGGGAACAATTTAAGCATATGCAGTGTATACAGAACTAATTTTGCCTCACCACTGTTTGTCCTCAGGCAAGTTACTTCCCTTTCTGAGGTTCTACTTACTCATTTGTATTGGAAATTTCCACAAGTTTATTAGAAGGGTCCGATGATATGCTTGCTATATTGTGACAGTACCTAAGAAATTGATAACCCAGAATATAATAGGCTTCCAATATATTTTCAGTGAATGGAAAAATTTCCATGCTCTTTATTCAGTATTGGTTTTATGGCCCTGAAATTTATGCATACACTACTTCAATTGTCACTCCCCCTTACCTGTGCATTTATTTCTTAGAAAAACTGAAGAATTTTATTCTCATTCACAATTAAAAGTCTTCATATAAGAGATTTACAGTTTGGGAAAAGAATCGTGTATTTATTGCATCTTATTAACAATATATTTACTAAAGAAATGTTTAAGATAAAATATCTAATTTTCATTTGATTGAAAACATCTGTAAAATTTGAACTAGGTCTCTTAAGAAAGTATCTTGAATTTCAAAGAGGAAACTGGCAAATTCTATCTTCCCTACCTCTCCCACATTTCTTACACACTGTGATCCCCATTACATTCCTGTGACCACAACTATTACACAACAAGACTTCCATTGTTCCTAAATTTCCGTTAAACAAATTGGTCATTCTGGCCTTTGGGAAAAGCTAGGAAACCTAGTTAAGTTCATAATTGAAGAGTTATTTTATGTTTAGCTAACCATTGATGAACCACTCTCTCTGCTCATAAGGCGGGAACGGATCACAGAGCTTCCATGGCGAGATAGCTGGTCACGGAACTCTGAGGCCATGAAATAATAGAGAATTGGATCCAAAAGACAGCAGAGACTGGCAAGGCACAGACAAAAAGGGTGGAAATAAAGTGTGCTTTGGACAATGGGACAACTACTAATGATGGTTTCCTTCACCATAGTGTAAAAAATAAAGTTAATATGGTAAGGAGTGAAGCAGATGAAAAAGACTGCAGCACACATAAAAACCATCCGCAGTGCTTTCTGCCGCTCACTGATTCCTTGGAAAGCCACTGGTGGCTGTCTCAGGGATATAATAGTTTTCCAAGTACACCATGCGATGATAACCACTGGGACAACAAATCCTGCCAGCTCAGCAACTGTAATCATTCCAACCAAAGCCACTGCATTCATTTTCTTATAACCAAGATCAGCAAAACAGGACTCAGTTTTGTTGCCTAAGTAGGTGCTTCTCAGAAGGGGAAATGGCAAGCAGGCAGTTCCCACGATGATCCAGATGGCAGCACTGATGCCCACATCATACCTACGTTTCCAGTTTCTGGCCCTAAAGGGCTTGAGGAGAAAGAAACATCTCTGAAGGCTGATGCACGTCAGGAAACAAATGCTTGCATACATGTTGAGATACTTCAGGTAGAAGCACAGTAGGCAAAGGGCCTTCTGGAAGGGCCAGTGGTGGCTGATGTAATAGTAAATCCGGAGGGGTAAGGACAGTACATGAGCAAGATCAGCCACGGAGAGGTTGATCATGAAAATGATGGCTTTATTTTTTTTGCTGATGAAGCGGCACAGAACCCACAAGGCTGCACTGTTGGCCAGAAGACCAGGGATGAATATGAGGATGTAGGTGCCTGCATAGAGGGAGTTCTGAAATGTCACATTAGTAGCACTGCAGTCATTGCTGGTACTGTTGCTATCCATCTTGAATATCTCAGTATACTCATCAAGGTAAGCAGTGGAGTTATAATTCCTGCTTGATCAAAGAAAAAAAGAGTATAATGACTAAACAGTTCTATAGCCAAATCCAGATTCCTTTTTATACTTGAAGAGGCAGATTATTAGATTTAGAAAAAACCTGTGTTCAGATGAATTGGCAGATGCTTAAAGAATATCTACTACTGATCCAAGGTCACCTAATGAATCAGGAAACCATGGGGCTGTCTTCAAACTGCCCTCCCAAATTGTCTAAGATGTGTCATATAGGCAAAGATGTCCTGAAATACTTAGTTTCTTTTTCTTACCACAACAAAAAGGGTATGGCACTTCAGTCTTTTCCTTTTGCACCCAAATTTTTCCTGCCCCAAAGCCTGTTCATTAACACTTGCAATGATAGAAATCCAACCTTGCCTTGTACATCCCCTTTCTTCTCTTTTGGGTTCTGACTTCCTACCTTGGTACTACAGCACTTGAAAAATGGCCCTGCATCTTTAGCCTACATTGCTAGTATGCTAGCTGAGTTTCAGGACTTGGGAACCCTATCTTCTTAACTTTTTTTCACAATAGCATAAGTGGTTCTCATTCACATTGTCATTCTCTCTCGGCTTAGGTCTTATACCAATTTACATGAAAAGGAACATTAATACACAAATTCAGAATCTGAACTAGGAATTCCCTTTAGTGATCTGAAAAGGAAGAGACTAATTTTCTTCCTAAGAATTCTGTACTGGTATGACATCATGGACATGGTAGATTATCCAATGGACACAGTAAGCATTGATTAGGGAAACAGTAAAATAGGCCACAAAATCATTTTTGGAAACAATTTAAAGCTTAATAGATTTTTTTTCATTAAAATAGTCATCATAAAAAGAAAAAAATGTGAATGTCCTTAATCTTATTTTATGCTTTAGTATGTTTTTTATTATGTAATAAATATAGGACATGGGGAATATAAAGTAATCTTTAGGGCTTCTCAAGTTCTGGTCATAGATTTACGCAGGTTGCCTGCAAGTAAAAGAGAGCAACAACTTTATTATTTTAGTTTAACACTCTTGTAGAATTTTAGACTGGAAAGAACCTTTAAAAGATCATTTAATTCAGCCTTCATATAATACATAGAAGTAAGGCCAAAATGGAGGCTTATTAAGGCCACAAAGCTACAAAACAGAAGATCTGGGACTTCAAATGGGAGTACAAGATACCTAATCTTTATAAACACCCTTCTCTTCATTTGTTTTCCTCCCCAAAACAAATTTTTACAAACATAGCTTCTGTTTATATTGCAAGCATGTTTACTGAATTTAGGGCTAGAAGTGGTATACAGTAGTGAAGTTGTTAATTAGGTTAAGTAACATTTTTATTGTCTTAATTGTTTCTTTTTTGTTTTATTTTGTTTTAAGTACATTTACAAAACAAAGGAATGTTTTGCTTTTAGATTCTCCTCATAAGTAACAGAATGACTTCCTATATCATGTTTTAAGTCCTATTCCGGGGAATAGAAATGTGGATTAAAAGCAGAACCCCAGATGATTAGTTCACATATAAAAATGTCAACATTGTGAACTACCATTATTCTAAAGGGTACTTTCACTTTGTCTCCCCTAATATTTCATCCTTGCTACTTGACTTGTGATACATCCTAAAAAGTCATGCAGTCATCTTGCTTATGTATGTATAACTTTGAATAGAAGGTGAAGGGTTGTTCACAAGTGAAAAGAATAAATAATTACCATGGTGTGACTATCAGCAATGTACCCCAGAATCTGCAATGACATTTTTCACATGCATTATCTAATTTCATTTTTATAGCCATCATCAGAAGCAGATACTATTATTACTACTCTTTTATCGCATATTAGGTAACTGAGGTTCAGAGAGATGCAGTTAATTTTCTGGGGTAACAAACCTAGAAAGTAGTAAAAATGAGATATATTATTATCCCTTATTTTCTCCAAAGTCTATGAGATTTCCACTACACCACTTTCTTCTCTCTGCTTAGGAGGGACTACTGAATAGAATGAGGCTCATGACATCTGGGGGCACATTATAAAAGAACATTTCTAATCTCATAGTAGGAGCTTATAATCTTATAACACTAGAATTACTCTAGTTAGGTTATTATAATATAACTAAATACCTGTCCCCATGAATATCACCCTCACTCCTCAACACCCACTTCATTATTGACATTTTTCTACTATTATCTATTATCCATGCAAAAACTGTGAGAAACCAAGGAAAGATTCATCAAGTGCACTATAATTCCAAGACCTGAGAACATCTCACACCCACCCAAATCACACTTCCACTTTTGTACTGTACAGACATGGTTATTTGTTCCTGCTTCACTGGTGTAGAAAGTTTCACTTACTAAAGAGAGATGTTCCATCCACACCCATGTGTTAAATAACAGAAACCAGTTAAGCCAGAACAGCAAGCTAGAGATCAAGTTCAGACCTTTTGTGTGGGTGGGGAAGTGGGGAGGTTATGCCTCTGCAATTCACAGTTTATTGTGAGCTTAGAGATTTGCATGGTCTACTTTCCAAAATCTCTTCTCCAGACTGAAGGGAAGATAGGATGGTTTTGCCAAATCTGGTGCCAAATTTTGTGACAATTAAATGTAAAATTCCCATGGTAGGGTGAGCTCACGGAATTTGGTTTGGGTAAGGCAGAAATATAAACTCTTAAGGAGCCCTGGGTGTTATACACAAACAATCATGGGACACTACATCAAAAACTAATGATGTACTGTATGGTGATTAACATAACATAATAAAAAAATAAATATAAGCTTTCTCAGGAAATATTTAGCTTGCTGTGGAAAATCTGTGACATTTCTGAAATTTAAGAAAGGAGAACAGCCTAAGAAGCCACTAATAGAAAAATACTGAGTAGAAGGGCAAAGGTTGGAGTACGTTCCTTCTCTGTCTTTGCTTCTGCCACTGTTTTCTCTCTCTGTTGTTGATTATTTCTAGTTGGCTTGTGCCACCTATGTTGCCAATTTTTCTCCCCTTCAACCTAGATATATCTTTGGTTCCTGTCTCAAAAAATGTGTAAGTTTGGTGACTCACTCCTGAGTCTGATCTCCCTTCTCAGTAAGTGTCATGACTCTCCTCCCAGACACTCAAGCTGAAAAGTGGGGATTTAGCTAACCCTTATCACTACATTTCCTCCATATCCAGTCAGAAACCAAGTGGTTCTCCCTTTTAAATATCTCTCCAATCCAAATATATTTCTACTGCTGCCATCCTAACATAGGCCACTGCCACCTTTCTTCTTGACAACTGAAACAGATTGATTAACCATACTCCCCACACTCCAGTCATAACCCCTGCAGTCCATTCCCCATACTGTGTCTAACACTAACATTAATTTGCACTACCATTTATTGAGGGCTACCATTTATTCACAGGCTAAGCATGCTTCATGTCTTATCTCATTAATCCTCATAGCAGTGCTATGATTATCTCCATATTACTGGTGAGGAAACTGAGACCAAAAATAATTAAATAAGTTGCAGCAAAGTCACAAAACTTGCTTTGTGTAGAGGTAGTATGTTAGAATTGGAATCTATGCTTGTTTCCATATTTTCTTACTTTTGTTGTGGCACTTATTAACTCTTTCTAACACTTTCTATACTGTAGCCCAAATAAACTTTCTTTGAAATATGTCATTCTCCTCCCTAAAATCCTTTGCTGGCCCTATTATACGAAGGCCAAACTTTTCACCATGTCTCCTGTGTACTTCAACATCACTTCATTCCATTCCATTTTCTTCCTCATTCTCTATGTTTTAACTACACTGAGATGTTTTCAGTTTCTAGACCAAGCTACCAAGCTACTATTTTTTCCTGGCGAAGGTCTCTGCACATTTTTTCTCTGTCTGGAGTTATCTCCCTCCAGGTCTTCACATGTCTGGTTCCTTTTAATCTCAGTTTGCAGGTCAGAAAGACCTTCACTACCAGTACTATCTAGGTAAACCTGCACATCATTATATATTCTCATGCTCTGTCCCTTCCTTCATAGCATCAACATTTGTAATTGAAATGTTTTGTTTACGTGTCTGTTGGCTTTTTCACCCATTGTGCCATTAGATTCATTGGTGTCAAAACAAGATATTTTAATCACTCTATAACTAGGACAGCCTGCTACTTAAGAAGCACTCATGGAGAATTTGCATGATGGATTGAACTGTAGACAGTAGTTTAAAGTCCCTGTTTGGAAGCATTAAACAAAAATGCAAACTTGGATGTGTTAACTAATACATTGTTTCTGCCTTCTATTTCCCTATGATGTTGTCTCCTTATTTGCGTTATTATCATCAGTATTTCTTACACCTACCCTTTTCAACTTAGAGAATTCATACCTGTAGAAACTTGAGAAAAATTCAAAATAATTAATTTAGAAATAACAAGTGGTCAGATATATCCTATGGGTAGAAACCAGCACCATTCAAAGTCTCAGAGTATCATTAAGACTATTACCTGGACTTCATGAAGAAGCTAGTCCTTGTTGTCTACTTCTAAGAGCACTTAACCCTTTATTTTTCTTGGCTGCCATTCTGCAGAGGGTAAAACTGCTTCATCTCATCAGCAAATAACTTCTTACTTGCCCATGCATAGGAACTGAAAGGAGAGTGAAGATGTTCCATCTCTAGTCACCAAAGCTCTCCACACATTAAAAGTAAGCATAAAGGAAAAGATAACTCTATATAGGTTTTTATTTCCCATGGCTTTTTGAGGACTCTGGCTGCCTTAATCAACATATATTTAATACATTTAATCTTATAAACTCTGTGCTAGGCCCTGTAGCAAATACAGAACTATCTGCCATAATCTCTGTCCCTGAGAAGCTTCTGGTCTGGTGGGGGAAATATTTTTAAAATCTCCAACATCATAATTGGTGCATGACAAGAACCATGGTAAATGGCATAAGTGTTAAGAAATCCTCATATTATCATAGCATCATCCCTCTAAGGTAAGTGAGACAATACCAGTAACTTACCCCACCGTAGTATTTAACTGACAAAGTGATGCATTCATGAACAATTAAATACCTTGTTCAAGGTCACCTAGGAAGAACATGATTGAAATAAGACTAGGAGTCAGAATTGTGGGCCTCTTAATGCTCTTTTTGCAATGTCAGTCTGCTTCTATTGAATTCTGAAATATAGAGCACCTCAATCCAGAAGAGATGGCACTTGTTCCAAGCCATCTGCATTTTCTTATTGGTCCCTGTAGGGACAGGGTTGGAAAGAAAAATAGAAATGATGTCTGAGGAAGAGATAAAGTTAACTTACTTTGCCTGAAGTATACACTATTGAATTTAAATTCTAATAACCCTTTTAAGTTTTGGTCAAGTTTCATCTTTTCAAGAAAACCTGCACTGAGTATTACCAATGCTATTCATCTGGGATTCAGTGGATTATGATTTCATACAGCAAATTAAAATTATGCTACATGTATCTAGCATGTTGATTGCTAAGAATGTTGGAGTGAGGTGGGAAATTTCATAGAAGGATAATGCATGATTGTTGTCCTCAAAATGTTTATAGTTTTTTAAGAGGGATAGACATAAGAAAAATTACCCATAACAGATTTTTAAAACCTGCTATAAAAGAGTGAAAGTTTCTATGGGAGTAGAAATGAATGCTGCACAAAAGAGGAGGATTGGAAGTTCAACTTAAAGGTAAATCCATTTTCAACAAGCAGTTTGGGTGGGCAGGATACAAGAGAAGAAATAGTAGAAGAATGACAGCAATGAATAGACAGCATTCAAATATCCTGAGGTTAACAAATGATCTATAGAAAGCA